GTCCTATGTAACAAATGGCTCACTGGATTCCGAACTCGCTTCGCGCATATATGCATACATAGAAAGTGCAACACGTCCTCTCTTTCCATCTCAACTGCTTTCCACGTATCACTATATTCTACATATATGTATGTATGTGTTAAGGCCTCCCCCAACGGGGGGAGTATGTTTAATCGCGAAATAAACAGTTTGACTACGATCCGAGAATTCTTTTTCGTTTCAAGTGGTTCGGTCCGTAGACCACCGTGAACAGCCCTACGCCTCGAAATACGAGTCTAGGCAGGGTCTTTGTCTCTTAATTTTTTTTCGTATCGGTCCTAGCATAAACACGTGCGAGTTGTAAACCACTCGAGAGTTTGCCTTCGCCTCTCATGGCGAGTATATTGTTTAAACATTATCCCCTCTCGTACGGGTATTCTCAGCCTATCGTTGCATAACTTTTAGTCAGTCGTCACGAGGAATCGAGAGGAATCAGATAGAGTTCGCGATAAAGAGCGTTCGGAGCGGCATCTCGCTTCTCGGAACTCCGGCGAAATTTGAAATAAGAATAACGCGGTGCGTGATAATAGTAATTTCGTTTTGTTCTATATTAGCATATCGAGTTACCGATAAAGTGTTGTGACCGCGAAACGTTCTTACACCGCATCCGCGATCAGGGAACTCTATCTTCCCATAAATCGGATCGCATCCGCGGTCAGGGATTCTGTCTTCCCATAAATCGGATCGCACTCGCGATCAGGGAACTTTGCCGTCCCATTAATCGGATCGCACTCGCGATCAGGGAACTTTGCCGTCCCATTAATCGGATCGCACTCGCGATCAGGGAACTTTGTCGTCCCATAATCGGATCGCATCCGCGATCCGGGAAGGGGGTTCATCGGAACCCCTCTCGTCCCATAAACGTGTCGCCTTCGCGACCAAGAAGGGGGTTCATTCAAATCTCTCTTGTTAAATACCGACGAAAATCAGATATTCCGAATCTTTTACAATGTTATTCATTGGTCACTCCGAGCGATTCGTCCTAATTACACAAATCATTTGTTCAATTTATTACGCAATAAATATTCTTCTTTTATGAGGTTTTGGCCGCAAGGTCTTTTTCCTCGGGGTTTACCCCCAAAATTACGA